ACAAAAATTTAAGGAATCTGAGAAATGGGATACTGATGAAGAGTACCCCTTTGGCAGGACTTCAGTTATCAACTGAAATTTCCCTCTCCTCTCACACAAATCCCAACTGCTTCCCATCAGCTGAGTGACAACTATTGTGGTAGGTTCATCACACCAAATCAGTTTGGGGGAAGGAGAAGGAGGGATGGCAGAGACAATATCTCGCAATCTGAAGTTAAGTCTCCCTGAGGCTTGGGCACCGTCAAAAGATTTTAAATACTGGAATTCTTTACTAAGGCCTCGGCAGCTTGAGAGTTACACTGAAATACTTCAAGAGAGACCTTAATGAACAGATCATCTTACTTTCGCAATGTGGAGGTGCATTATCCCAAACCACTTTGTTATTTTGCACGATACACCGAGCTCCATTTCGCCCTACTGGTCTGTATCTAAAAGGAAGAGAGTTTTATATATTACAGCACATGGCACAATAGGAAAACACAGAATATTTTTAAGGAGGTGGAAACTGGCTGTCAACTCCATTTGTCATACGAAATTACTGACGAAGCTCAGGATGGAAAACCCACGCTACCACAAAGATCCCTGTTACTGTGGCTTTAAACCTTGATATGGTAGAAGCTGCATTTTCAAATATTTCAGTGGACTTTCTCAGTTCAAGATGAAATATTCACTTACCTGGAAATACTTGTTTTTGTCCTTGGTTTAAGAACAGCCATTTTAAAAATCACCATAAAAGTAGAAAAATGAAATATATGCACATATTTTAAAAAAACAATAATTCATTTTATTTATAATTATAAACTGCTTTACAAACCCAATAAACAATAATATTTCAATGAACAATATAAAAAGAAATTTAAGAGAAAAACACTGGAATGCTGGATGAAAAGGGGTACGAACAGTAAACTCATCCAGTGGAAGGGGGGGAAGAGGACAGAGTGTATATTTACCAATTAGGTCACAAGCACTAGCCAATAACTGTGCCTCCATGAGCAAGCAGAACCCATATTGTACTGTTGAAATTTTGTCAGCCTACTGGTCGAGAGACAGAGCCATGGACAAGGGAAATCCCCAGTTCTCTGGCAGTGATTATCCAGAAGTCCTTAGGCAAACTACTTATCCTCAGCTCAGTCCCCACAGGAATATTACTTATTTAATATTTATTCTCACATTTTCTATTTAGCTCAAGAAGCTTACAAATATGACCACAGACCATGAATCATAGTTTGAGAATAAAATTACAATGTAACAATATTTGCTCAGCTTCCAAAGAAAGCAACACCAGACGGACCACCTGTCAGATGATAATATATTGAGATAACAGTAAATAAAGTCAATTCAAACCCTATGAAATGCAACATGAAGATTTATGACTACTGACTGTACGCTAACAGTGGTGAGATTTTATAAGCTTCCAAGCACTACATGGAAGCTGAGCAAAAAATCCAGTTAATTGTTGACAATTCAGCCATTCAACTACTTAAGTGGTAATTCTATTCCCTACTCTAAAAATGCACCAAATGACACTTCGAAGTGAGATATTACTACACTATCATCCAAATCTGAGTAGAACAGCCCTAAAGTCTTACACTCATATAAACCAATCTGGCAGGCAACCTACAGCTCACCCGTCATTGCAGACAAAGGTTATTTGATCACCAAGCCGAAGTTCACTGTCTTCTGCTATTCCACCATTCTCTATATTGGGATAAGGACATCGTCTTCCTAGGACAAAGATTAGGACATTAGCTCATGATTGCATTAAAGTAGCAGTATGAGAGCACAGAAAATATGGCTTGTATCTTGCATGCCATTTCTCAAGACACAAGGGCAACTTTCAGCAGTATCCAACAATTCCCTTCTTCCATAGCAGACCCCCAACCTACCCTCTGTGGCACTGGTTAAGGTCTCCTGACCCCAACCACCCTGGAACAGAAGTCTAGGGGGCTCAGGAAGCTGCAGGAGGGGGTGGTGGTAGGGAAGCTCATGCTCAACTTGCAAAGATCACAGAATACAAGCCAAGGTCTTTGAGAAGTGACTTCTACTGTCTAACACATTTGACATGCAAGAAATTCAGATATGCAAACACTCAAGAATAAGAATCTCACTATTTGTGGCATATACAAAGGGTTGGATCCAGACTAAACTGGAATTTTCCACTGATTCCCCCATCCCACTGCAGACCCCCCCTCATGTTATTCCCAAGGATCCCCTACACCTAGAAGCAGCCTTTTGTGGAGATCAGTGGGCTGCAGTTGGAAGCGGGACAAAGGAAGGTTCCATTCCACTGATGGAAAATTTAGTCTTGATTCAACTCATCTGTATATCTAATTCCCAACAGTCCCCTATGTGTGGATACTTATTTCCGCAGATAGGGGGCATACTTACCCCAAACAAGTTTTTCTGCAAACTTGGGTGACCCCCTAGGTTTGCAGAAAAATCTGAAAACTTAAA